GCAGAAGAAAGATGAAAGAGGGACGAAAGATGAGAAGAAAGAGGGGGGAGAAGAGAAGAATACATAAGAGAAGGAAGAGGAACTGCACCACCGATGCCGCAGCTAAAACAGTGACAAATACGAGTATTTCCTTGAAACTGAAATAAGAGGAATAACCTGTTTTGGAATAAACAATATAAGAACATTTTCAATGGGTTTCAATGGGAAAGCATGTTGCAATGACTGCATGCACTGAGTACAATGAAAGTAGAACTGACAAAAACAGACAGGTAGACAGACAAACAAACAGACAGACATACACAAACACACAAACAAACAAACACACACACACACACACACACACACACACACACACACACACACACACCCACACACGCACACATATACATATTTATCCACTTCCCCCAGGCCTCATCATGTGCTCCGCGGCTGTGGGCGTGGCGGCTGGCTACATGGTTGCTGGACAGACGCTAGGCATCTACGTGGACGTGGACAAAATAGACGTGAGCCAGTAAGTGATGACCACGTGAGCCAGTGAGTCGTTACCACGTGCGCCTGAGCTAGTAGGCTAAGTGATGACCCCGTGACAAAGTTAGTGATGACCACATGTGAGCTGGTAAGTGGAGACCACGTGACCAAGTGAATGATGGCCACGTGAGCCAGTAAGTCATACCCACTTGAGCCTGAGTCAGTAGGCTAAGTGATGACCACGTGGCCAAGTTAGTGATGATTACACGTGAGCCAGTAAGTGGTGACAACGTGAGCCAGTGAACGATGAACACGTGAACCTTTGGTGACCACGTGAGCCAGTACGTGATGACCACGTTTGCCAGTAGGCTAAGGCATGACCACGTTGGCCTAAAGATGTAAGTGCTGACTTCGTGAGCGAGTAAGGGATGACCACGTCAGCCAGTAAGTGACGCCCGTCATCTGCTAATAGACCTGGGGCGTGGTTAGTGGACAAAATCTGACGTACAGATGACGATAAGCATGAAAAGGGCACACACAGACTCACACTCGAACTCAAACATGCATACGTACAAACACTCACTCTCACACGCTCGGGCTCATGCGCATGCGTACACACACGCACTCACACACACACGCGCGCGCACACACACACATACACAGACACACACACACGCAGACTCATACACATACACACACCCACACACGCATATAAACACACACACAAACACATGCAGACATACATTACATGTACTTGGACATACTGTTGAGAAAGAAAGGGAGAGATTGTGTAGAGACGCTGGGTAGTCGGACAAGAATAAGGGATGGGAGGAGTGGGCCAGAGGGGAGAGAGAGGGAGAGAGAGAGAGAGGGGGGGGAGAGGGAGAGAGAGAGGGGGGAGAGGGAAAGAGAGAGAGAGAGTAACAAGAGAGAGAGAGAGAAAGAGAGAGAGAGAGAGA